TTTTTTTTTTTGCTCTCTTGATGTTGTACAGCCACTGCTGCATCATCGCTGTTGTTGCACGCATACACAACTCACCATTTCAAGTGGCATGCGCAGATTCTTTGATTCCCCTCCGTGCTTCCGTCACCCAACCCGCACGTACGCTCGTCTTCTCACGGCATGTCGCTCAGGAGCTGCAACAACTCCGACGCCGTCTTACGTGCCGCCGGCTCAGGTGCCAAACAGCTGCAAAGCACCTCGCGCAGGACCGGGTCCGCGTCGCATGGTACTTCCTCCAACGCGATTTTTCCCTCTTCCAGCGCCGCACGTGTCTTCTCAAAGTCTGAAAGGATTGCCACTAAGCCCAAACGTGCTTTACGTGCCTCTTCCTCCTCCTCCTGCTGAGACTTCGGCCGTAGTTCTCGTTGAATGCTGTCATCCTCAGCGAGGGAAGCGTCACCCGCATGTGTTGTAACCGCACGGTCAATCCAGCGCCATGGCGTCCGATTGAGGATCATCTCCAGCACCATCACGCCCACCGCGTAGATGTCGCTAGCAGCACTTTGTGTACAATTTGCGAAAGTCTCCGGGCTGCAGTACGCCGACCCACCACAACGATAACCCGCCTGCAGCTCGCTTACCGTCGCCCCTGCCGCCGTCATCTTTCTGATACCACGCAATTTGTATACACCCTCGACAGCCACCATGATGCACTCGGGTCGCAGGTTGCCATGTACGAGACCACGGTTGTGCAGATACTCCAGCCCACGCAGTGTGCTCACGAGAAATCGTTTCACCGCCATAGGTGGTAGCGCCCGGCCGTATCGACTGACCGACTGACGCAGCGTTCCTCCTGGCACGAACTCCATGATGAGACACACGTGCCGCTTGGTTCGGCCAAAGCCAAGAATTTGCACAATGTTCACGTGATAAACTGTCAGTGCGAGGGACCACCACTCTTCAATACTGCGAGTGTCTTTGTAGCCTATTTCTGGCAAGGATGAGATGGGTAAAAACTTGAGTGCCGCAAGGGTGCCGGTATCGCTGATACCGAGGAAGACGGGGAAGCGGCGGTTCTCCACGAAGCCTTCAGCGGCGCGTGTCCAACGGACGCCATCCTTGTCCCAGAAATGCTGTGGGATGTTCCTGATGGGTGACTGGGGCCGCGTGGAGGTGAGACTATACGACAGGGCGGTGTCGGCGCCGCCGCGCGTACGGCGCGAGGCGGGTGATTGTAGCTGTCCATCCGTCATGCTGTGGTTACTGCCGAACGTTAGAGAGCGTGAGGGCCACAACATCATCTCAGGAAGAGCCTCGAACTGCTTATCCAATGCCCGATGCACGCGAGCCATTTGGCAGCGGAGGAATTGCGTCAGTTGAGGCGTGAGAAACAGCTCCAAATGAAGAATCTCGAAAAAGGTCAGTGCCTCGCAGTAGTCCTCCTGCATGAGGTGGGAAAATCCCTTGCAGTACCTCGCCTCCACGATGCGCCACATCGCCTCATCAGCGATACCGTCAATGACAGTGTAGAGCATGACGTGATGCGGCATGTCCGGTTTGTTAAGCAGGACCGAGGTAAAAGGAAGCACGTGCACAGAGGCACGAATGTGCGACGCTGTGGATTGGAGAATCACCAACGGCACACCATAGTGTCGCTGTAAGTGAATAAGATCCAGGCCGATAGACCGCCCCATAAGGACGAGCTCCTTCCTCTCTGGCCCACCACAGACACCGAACTGGAAGGTGCCACTATCGACCACAATTGTGCAGCAGCGGCGCACGGGATCGGGGAGATTGCGAAGGATTTCAAGGGCGCAGTACGTCGCCTCCAACTTGTCTGATTGAAGCCGCGGACTGAATCCAAAAATCACATGAAATAGCTCAGGCACGAACACATCAATGCATCCGCCATACTTATTTGCTGCTTGTATCACCACACTCGCCACCTCGCCAGTACACTCAACGTTGTCCATGATATCTACAATACACACCTCCACCACCGAGCATGTCACGTCCGTGAAGGTGTTGATTTTATCATTGGAGTCGCCAAGTATGTTTTTTGTGAGGCCCACATCGAAGTTGTGCACGGCATTGGTTGCTGTCTCCGCTGTCTCTCCATTCCACTTGCTCATTGCACGTTCATCATCAGCTATATCATCTCTGCAATGAAGCCCGGCACAACTTCGACTTGCTTCCCCCTGAAGAAGTCGCTCCACTTCGAAAAGACCCTCTGGCAAGAATGAACGCAGATGAATCAGTTGTTCCTGCAGTGAAACACACACCCTCTGTAAGTTGTATATCTCCACCAGGGAAGACACAGCACGGTGCAGCGTTGGAGGTGCTTTGATTGTAGTAGTAGTAGTAGTAGTAGTAGTAGTAGTAGCAGTGGCAGCAGCAGCAGACCCAGTTCCCACCTTCGCCGCAACACGGAGATCCTCAGCAATGCCACGCAGTGGGCGTATGACGCAGATATTGAGGACAACGTACACCATTAGGGTCGCCCCCACCGTTGTAATTCCCAGCACTATGAGAATAATCTTCTGTGAAGAGTAAAGGCTTCCAAAGAGCGTAGTGGGCGCCGCGACCAACACAATGACGCTTGCGTTAAAATCCGACCGCACGCGAAAGGCACTAAAGGTGGCAAACGATGCGTCGTATGGGAACCTTGTGTAAAACACATTGTTGTTGCGCACTGTGTGCATGAGACTGTTGATATTGGTGTATTCAACGGCTGACCGCATCAACGGATCGGTGACATCCCGTAGGGTTGGAAAAACTGTCAAGACTCCATTCACACTGTCGCCGTCCGTGTCGAGGGACTCCTTGGCAACGCCCGTGCTCCGTTCTACATAACGTGAGTCCTGCTCCCAACTGCTTCCAATAATCCGCATCCTGCTCTCTTTATTGGTGCCATCGATGTCCGTACCTGTGTCGTCATCCTCAAGAACCATCACTCTAAGCGCGTGGGGAAGGTTCCCGCTACGAAGGAACATGCGCTTAATCATGCGATTAAAATCCACCGCGACCTTGAAGAAAGAGACACTGCCGTCTTTCTCAATAAACGGGTGTGTGTATGCATAGCGCATGTTTAAAAAGTTCTCAATGAACCACATGCCTATGGGCTGCTGCCGACCTGCTTCCACCTCCCGCTTCCATGCATCCAGCCGACTTCCTGTGTCGGTCATGTTGTACACCAGCTGCTGCAGCGTAAAGGCCTCAATAAAGTTGCCCAGGAAGAGGGGTGGATCGACGACCTGCAATGTGCGGGGATCAACAGCAACAGGACCAAGCAACAGACCGTCTTCCTCATTAAGCAACACAGTGGCAAAGTAATTTTGGTGAAAGCCGCGTGAACAGAGGGCAATCTCATCGCGCGTGACGGAGGCAACAAAGGCAGATGTCAGCAACCGCATCCGGTCCATATGACGCAGTGAGGCGCACAGCCTCCGTGTCATGTCGAAGCCCATCGGTACCACATCATCATTCGGGCTTGGCCTCGCCTCGTGTTTGATGTACAGGCCGATAAAGACACTCGAGAGCAGAGGGGGCATATTGAGCGCGTTTACCACATGGGAAGATATCTCCAGCTGTAGGTACTCGTGGTAACCCATTATAGAGTCGTTTACACTCTTTAAGGCCATTAGGCTCGGCATTAGAGCGGAGAAGAGCGCCACGCATATGAGAACCAGCAAGTAAGGAATCAGTATGCATGCTATTGGGAGTGTCCGATTAGCAAACCACCCCTTCCTATCCTTACCTTTTTTATCCACGTGCCACTTCCGCGATTGTTGTTGCTTTTGGCCCTTTAACTCCGACTCACCCATTTCTTTCAGCGAATATGCAGACCCGGTGGGAGTGGAGGTGAATGCATTGCCAGATACTCTGGGCAGAGGCACTAGGTAGGCATTATCGAGTATGTCCTTCGGCAGGCGGATGCCGGTGGGACTATCCATATTCCCCTCAGTCGTTGTGCCAGAAGAAGAAACAACAGCAGGAAAGGTTAGTGCTTGGTCGACATCCTCCCCATAAGTGGGGGTGCGGAGTGGCTTGCGGCCCCTGAGTGACTGCAGTCCTGGCACTTTGAGGGGCAAGCACGTGGTGGACCTGTCAGAGCGTCCCACACCAATCATGTTGTCCTCTTCCTCTTCCTCCTCCCCCCCCCTCTCGCGGCAACTTGCATTCCACAAGTGCTGCAGCGAGATCGACATGTCACCAGAGAAACCAATACCATGAAGGGACATGGAAGAAGCAGCAGCAGCAGCAGCAGCAGCAGC